CCTCCTCCTTGGCCTCCTCTCTACCTCCTGGAAAAAGGCGCTTGCTGGCATCACAATGCCTGTGCCTCTCTCCAGCTCATCGAATGCACTGTTGCCCTGCCATGATGGTGCTCTGATGGAAAAAGGAAACCTGATGAGCTCCTTCTGTCCCGGCATCGGGCAGGTGCAGGGTGTCCCTGCTCTTCCCCCTGTGCCATTTCCAGCTCCTGCGTGAAGCTGAACCCGGGACTCATAGGACAGTGCAGGGCCAGGACTGCTGGGGCAGACCCTGCCACAGCACAGCACTTGCACCCCCTGTGTTGTGAGCCGGGAGAAGGACACCAACCTGAAGGGGATTGGGATCCCCGTCGTGAACATGTCCTTGATAAATGTCTGGTAAATGCAGAGGGGGCACTGGAGGGATGAAACACCAGAGCGCAGAGCCTGTCCCTGCAGGAGAAACACGAGCAGTGAAGAGTGAGGCCCTGGTGCTGCTGAGACACTGCTGAACCCCCCAGAGGAGTCCTCCTTGTCCCAGAGCTGGTTCGAAGGGCTGGGCTTTCTTGCTTGGGGTCTCGGCAAAGCTCCAGCAAACCTCGCCTGGCACGAATCTGCCTGCCATTGTCAGGCTCTCACCTTCTGTGCCGCCCGGGAGACTACATCTAGGATATTCCTTGGCAGAAAGCCCTGGAGTCCTACTTGACCCAGGGGGTGCTGAGGAAATGGTTGGCAAAACCTGCAGGAAAATGACACACACTGATGAGGAGAGAGTGGCAGGGATTGCCTATCAGAATACAGAGGAAGCACACGGAGAACCTCACCAGGCAGAACTCGTGGGCACAAAGTTTCCTCTTCGCAGATGTCCGGGTCAGTGTCTGATCGCTGGCACAACAGGCATGCTGCAGGGGAGAGAGACAATGGCCCCGGGCATGGCACCTCTGCTGCCCGCCCTGAAAACCCTTTTCCAGGCTGCGGGAGGGGCACTTTGCTCTCACCTCTCTCCCTCACTTTGGGGGCCTCCTCCTCCCTGTCTGACGTAGAACGTTTCAGTGGTGGGTCCCTGTCTCACCGTCTGAGCGGTGAGTGGGGCTCTCAGCACTGGGTGTTCTAACGCGGCTCGTGTCACGGCGACTTCTGGATCCTCTGGATGAATTTGAGGTCCGACGCTGCTGGCGGGAGTGGTGTTGCCTTTGGGAAGTGCTGGCTGCTGTCTCCCTTGAGTTTCTCCTCCCAGCACTCGGTGCTGGAGTGCAGTTCCTGTCACGGGGACTTCTGGACCGGCCAGATGGATTTGGGGTCTGACGTTGCCGGCAGGAGCGGTTTCGCCGGCGGGATGTCCCCGATGCTTCCTGGCTGGGTGTGCAGCTCCCAGCACTTGGTGCTCTCACACAGTTTCTGTCACGGCGACTTCTGGAGCGGCCAGATGGATGTGGGGTCTGACGTTGTTGGCGGAAGCGATTGTGTGTGCGGGATGTCCTCGGTGTTTCCTGGCTGCGGCTGCACCTCCCAGCACTCGGTGCTCTCACATGGCTCCGGTCACGGAGACTTCTGGACTGGCCAGAAGGATTTGGGGTCTGACTTTGCAGGCGGGAGCGGTTTCGCCTGCGGGATTCCCCTGATTGTGTCAGCCTGGGCCGACGCCTCCCGGGACTTGGTTCTGGCACATGGGTCCTGTTGTGGGGACTTCGGGACCGAAGCTGTGGACTGCGCGCCCGACGTTGCCGGCGGGAGTGGTTTCGCCGGCGGTCAGGCCTCCGACCGCTGGAGCAGCTGCTGTCCTCAGTGTCGGGGAAGCTGCTGTGGGACGACCCCGACGTTACCTGACTGTCAGGGCTAGAGCTGCTCATCTCCTGTGAGGGAGATTCCAGAGATTGCTCCGATGTTGACTGTGGGTTGGTGTGGAGGTTGCTGGTCTCTGATGCTGAAGACCGAAGGGATGGCACCTGGTTGCTGGTGCTGGGACTGATGGTGTCCAGTGTTGGAGAACTGGGAGAGAGCCCTGACAACTCCAGGCTGCCTGTGTTGGGGCTGATGGTCTCGGGTTCTCTGGAGACCTCTGAAGGCTCCAATCCTGACTGCCTGGCCGTGCTGGGGCCAGCAAGCTCCGAGTCATCTCTGGAGGCTGGAAGGGGAAGCAGGAATGTCAAGGCCACCCCAAGCCCGGGACAGAATAAGCCAGAGCAGCGCCCCTGGTTGTCCTGGAGCAGACAGGCTCTGCCAAGCACAGCCTGGGCACCCCCTGCCAGGTGCAGGGGCACCCACTGCCAGGTGCAGGGGCACCTGGCCCAGGCTCACCAGGTTGCTTTGCCTCTTACCTGTGCCCAAACCAGCACAGCCATCACATTCCCATCGGGTTATGCTGTTTCTCAAGCCAGAGCAGTGTCTGTGAGTGCCCTCGGCAGCACAGGAGGAGCACAGGAGCAGTTCCCAGGGCCTGGGGAAGCAAACAGGTTCATGGAGCTGAGGACAAAGTGTCCAAAGCATGGGATTATTTGGCTGAGCTCTTCTACTGGGTCCATCAGGCACAAGTTCTGGCAAGCCCCAGAATGCATCTTTGACAACTTACCCCTCCTCCTCGGCCTCCTCTCTACCTCCTGGAAAAAGGCACTCGCTGGCATCACAATGCCTGTGCCTCTCTCCTAGATCGGCAAATGCATTAAAGCCCATCCATGATGGTGGTCTGATGGAAAAAGGAAACCTGATGAGCTCCTTCTGCCCCGGCATCGGGCAGGTGCAGGGAGTCCCTGCTCTTCCCCCTGTGCCATTTCCAGCTCCTGCGTGAAGCTGAACCCGGGATTCACAGAGCAGTGCAGGGCCAGGACTGCTGAGGCAGACCCTGCCACAGCACAGCACTTGCACCCCCTGTGTTGTGAGCCGGGCAGAAGGACACCAACCTGAAGGGGATTCGGATCCCCATGGTGAACATGTCTATGAGAAAGTCCTGCCTGTTCCTGCAGAGGGGGCACTGGAGCGATAAAAAACCAGCATGCAGAGCCTGTCCCTGCAGGAGAAACACGAGCAGTGCGAGTGAGGCCCTGGTGCTGCTGAGCCCCTGCTGACCCCCCCCCGGGGGTGAGGGAACCACTCCTACTTGAATACAATCCCTGTGGAACCAGGCGGTTTTGCACGCTGGGCACACCATGGTTTTGAAGGTCTTTCTGTCCTCCACGGGCTCCATGCAGATGAGGCAATTGGTGCCCGGCTCCGGAGTCGCCTCCACTTCCTGCTCTGGGCTGTGTGTGGGGCAGAAGGACCTGGGGGGAAACAGGGTGGGTGAGTTGAGAAGTGATGGGCCCTTCCCTGGTGATGGCCAGCAGGGGACAGGAGGTACCTGTATGGTCTGATGAACTGGGTGACACATCCTCCCTGCTTGGCACAGGGCAGGTGGAAGCTCAGGTCACAGTCGGTTTCACAGCAGGTGATGGTGGCCCCGCTCTGGCCACAGATGCAGCAGCTCTGGAAAGAGCAGAGCAGCCCCATCAGCAGCAGCCTCAGGGCCTCCTCCTTGTCCCAGAGCTGCTTGTAAAGGCTGGGCTTTTTTGCTTGGGGTCTGGGCTAAGCTCCAACAAACCTCACCTGGCAGTGAACTTATCCTGACCATGTCAGGCTCTCACCTTCTGTGCTGCCCGAGAGACTACATCGAGGATATCCCTTGGGAGAAAAACCCTGTGTCCTACTCGATCAACTGGGTAGTGAGGAAGGTAGTTGGCAAAAAACTGCAGGAAAAATGACATGCACTGATGAGGAGAGTGGCAGGGACTGCCTATCATAATATGGAGGGAGCACACAAAGCAACTGACCAGGCAGAACTCGTGGGCACAGAGTCCATTCCTATGAACTTTTTCTCCATAGATGTCTGGGTCAGCGTCTGATCGTCCACACAGCAGGCACGCTGGAGGGGAGAGAGACAATGGCCCCGGGCTTGGCACCTCTGCTGCCCGCCCTGACAGCCCCTCTGCCAGGCTGCAGGAGGGGCACTTGGCTCTCACCTGGCTCCCTCACTTCAGGGGCCTCCTCCTCCCTGTCTGACATGGGACGTGTCAGCGGTGGGTCCCTGTCTCACCGTCCCACCATGAGTGCACCTGCCAGCACTGGGTGCTCGAACACAGCTCCTGTCACGACGACTCGTGGATCTGCTGTACGAATCTGGGCTGTGATGCTGCTCTTGGGAGTGGTTTTGCCTGCAGTCAGGCTGTTTCTGGGAAGCTGCTGTGGGATGACCCCAATGTTACCTGACTGTCAGGGTGGGGCTGTTTTTCTCCTGTGAGGGAGATTGCAGAGACTGCTCCAATGTTGCCTGTTGGTTGATGTGGTGGTTGTTGGTACTGGGGTGATGGTCTTGTGTTCTGTGGAGTCGTCAGAAGAGTCCTTCATGAGGGCAACAAGCTCTGAGTCTGCAGTGGAGGCTGAAAGAGGAAGCAGTAAGTTGAAGGCCACCTGAGGCCCTAGGCAGGATAGGCCAGAGCAGAGCCCCCAGCCCTCCTGGAGCAGACAGGCTCTGCCAAGCCCAGCCTCGACATCCGTTGCCAGGCTTAGGACAGCCATCATATTCTCATCTGGTTATGCTGCCTCTCAGGCCACAGCAGTGTCTGCGGGTGCCCTCGGCAGCACAGGAGGAGCACAGGAGCAGTTCCCAGGGCCTGGGACGCAGCTTTGGCAACTTACCCCTCCTCCTCGGCCTCCTCTCTGCCTCCTGGAAAAAGGCGCTTGCTGGCATCACAATGCCTGTGCCTCTCTTCGAGCTCGGCAAATGCCGTATTGTCCTCCCATGATGGTGCTCTGACGGAAAAAGGAAACCTGATGAGCTCCTTCTGCCCCGGCATCGGGCAGGTGCAGGGTGTCCCTGCTCTTCCCCCTGTGCCATTTCCAGCTCCTGCGTGAAGCTGAACCCGGGACTCACAGAACAGTGCAGGGCCAGGACTGCTGGGGCAGACCCTGCCACAGCACAGCACTTGCACCCCCTGTGTTGTGAGCCGGGAGAAGGACACCAACCTGAAGGGGATGCGGATCCCCGTCGTGAACATGTCCTTGATAAATGTCTGATAAATGCAGAGGGGGCACTGGAGGGATGAAACACCAGAGCGCAGAGCCTGTCCCTGCAGGAGAAACACAAGCAGTGAAGAGTGAGGCCCTGGTGCTGCTGAGACACTGCTGAACCCCCCAGAGGAGTCCTCCTTGTCCCAGAGCTGGTTCGAAGGGCTGGGCTTTCTTGCTTGGGGTCTCGGCAAAGCTCCAGCAAACCTCGCCTGGCACGAATCTGCCTGCTCTTGTCAGGCTCTCACCTTCTGTGCCACCCGGGAGACTACATCTAGGATATTCCTTGGCAGAAAGCCCTGGAGTCCTACTTGACCCAGGGGGTGCTGAGGAAATGGTTGGCAAAACCTGCAGGAAAATGACACACACTGATGAGGAGAGAGTGGCAGGGATTGCCTATCAGAATACGGAGGAAGCACACGGAGAACCTCACCAGGCAGAACTCGTGGGCACAAAGTTTCCTCTTCGCAGATGTCCGGGTCAGTGTCTGATCGCTGGCACAACAGGCATGCTGCAGGGGAGAGAGACAATGGCCCCGGGCATGGCACCTCTGCTGCCCGCCCTGAAAACCCTTTTCCAGGCTGTGGGAGGGGCACTTTGCTCTCACCTCTCTCCCTCACTTTGGGGGCCTCCTCCTCCCTGTCTGACGTAGAACGTTTCAGTGGTGGGTCCCTGTCTCACCGTCTGAGCGGTGAGTGGGGCTCCCAGCACTGGGTGTTCTAACGCGGCTCGTGTCACGGCGACTTCTGGATCCTCTGGATGAATTTGAGGTCCGACGCTGCTGGCGGGAGTGGTGTTGCCTTTGGGAAGTGCTGGCTGCTGTCTCCCTCGAGTTTCTCCTCCCAGCACTCGGTGCTGGAGTGCAGTTCCTGTCACGGGGACTTCTGGACCGGCCAGATGGATTTGGGGTCTGACGTTGCCGGCAGGAGCGGTTTCGCCGGCGGGATGTCCCCGATGCTTCCTGGCTGGGTGTGCAGCTCCCAGCACTTGGTGCTCTCACACAGTTTCTGTCACGGCGACTTCTGGAGCGGCCAGATGGATGTGGGGTCTGACGTTGTTGGCGGAAGCGATTGTGTGTGTGGGATGTCCTCGGTGTTTCCTGGCTGCGGCTGCACCTCCCAGCACTCGGTGCTCTCACATGGCTCCGGTCACGGAGACTTCTGGACTGGCCAGAAGGATTTGGGGTCTGACTTTGCAGGCGGGAGCGGTTTCGCCTGCGGGATTCCCCTGATTGTGTCAGCCTGGGCCGACGCCTCCCGGGACTTGGTTCTGGCACATGGGTCCTGTTGTGGGGACTTCGGGACCGAAGCTGTGGACTGCGCGCCCGACGTTGCCGGCGGGAGTGGTTTCGCCGGCGGTCAGGCCTCCGACCGCTGGAGCAGCTGCTGTCCTCAGTGTCGGGGAAGCTGCTGTGGGACGACCCCGACGTTACCTGACTGTCAGGGCTAGAGCTGCTCATCTCCTGTGAGGGAGATTCCAGAGATTGCTCCGATGTTGACTGTGGGTTGGTGTGGAGGTTGCTGGTCTCTGATGCTGAAGACCGAAGGGATGGCACCTGGTTGCTGGTGCTGGGACTGATGGTGTCCAGTGTTGGAGAACTGGGAGAGAGCCCTGACAACTCCAGGCTGCCTGTGTTGGGGCTGATGGTCTCGGGTTCTCTGGAGACCTCTGAAGGCTCCAATCCTGACTGCCTGGCCGTGCTGGGGCCAGCAAGCTCCGAGTCATCTCTGGAGGCTGGAAGGGGAAGCAGGAATGTCAAGGCCACCCCAAGCCCGGGACAGAATAAGCCAGAGCAGCGCCCCTGGCTGTCCTGGAGCAGACAGGCTCTGCCAAGCACAGCCTGGGCACCCCCTGCCAGGTGCAGGGGCACCCCCTGCCAGGTGCAGGGGCACCCACTGCCAGGTGCAGGGGCACCTGGCCCAGGCTCACCAGGTTGCTTTGCCTCTTACCTGTGCCCAAACCAGCACAGCCATCACATTCCCATCGGGTTATGCTGTTTCTCAAGCCAGAGCAGTGTCTGTGAGTGCCCTCGGCAGCACAGGAGGAGCACAGGAGCAGTTCCCAGGGCCTGGGGAAGCAAACGGGTTCATGGAGCTGAGCTCTTCTACTGGGTCCATCAGGCACAAGTTCTGGCAAGCCCCAGAATGCATCTTTGACAACTTACCCCTCCTCCTCGGCCTCCTCTCTACCTCCTGGAAAAAGGCACTCGCTGGCATCACAATGCCTGTGCCTCTCTCCTAGATCGGCAAATGCATTAAAGCCCATCCATGATGGTGGTCTGATGGAAAAAGGAAACCTGATGAGCTGTCTCTGCCCCAGCATCGGGCAGGTGCAGGGTGTCCCTGCTCTTCCCCCTGTGCCATTTCCAGCTCCTGCGTGAAGCTGAACCCGGGACTCACAGAACAGTGCAGGGCCAGGACTGCTGGGGCAGACCCTGCCACAGCACAGCACTTGCACCCCCTGTGTTGTGAGCCGGGCAGAAGGACACCAACCTGAAGGGGATTCGGATCTCCATGGTGAACATGTCCTTGATAAATGCCTGATTGTTCCTGCAGAGGGGGCACTGGAGCGATAAAAAACCAGCATGCAGAGCCTGTCCCTGCAGGAGAAACACGAGCAGTGCGAGTGAGGCCCTGGTGCTGCTGAGCCCCTGCTGATCCCCCCCGGGGGTGAGGGAACCACTCCTACTTGAATACAATCCCTGTGGAACCAGGCGGTTTTGCACGCTGGGCACACCATGGTTTTGAAGGTCTTTCTGTCCTCCACGGCCTCCAGGCAGATGAGGCAATTGGTGCCCGGCTCCGGAGTCGCCTCCACTTCCTGCTCTGGGCTGTGTGTGGGGCAGAAGGACCTGGGGGGAAAAGGGGTGGGTGAGGAGAGAAGTGATGGGCCCTTTCCCTGGTGATGGCCAGCAGGAGACAGGAGGTACCTGTATGGTCTGATGAACTGGGTGACACATCCTCCCTGCTTGGCACAGGGCAGGTGGAAGTTCAGGTCACAGTCAGTTTCACAGCAGGCGATGGTGGCCCCGCTCTGGCCACAGACGCAGCAGCTCTGGAAAGAGCAGAGCAGCCCCATCAGCAGCAGCCTCAGGGCCTCCTCCTTGTCCCAGAGCTGGCTGGAAGGGCTGGGGTTTTCTTGCTTGGGGTCTGGGCTAAGCTCCAGCAAACCTCGCCTGGCAGTGAACTTATCCTGACCATGTCAGGCTCTCACCTTCTGTGCTGCCCGAGAGACTACATCGAGGATATCCCTTGGGAGAAAAACCCTGTGTCCTACTCGATCAACTGGGTAGTGAGGAAGGTAGCTGGCAAAAAACTGCAGGAAAAATGACATGCACTGATGAGGAGAGAGTGGCAGGGACTGCCTATCATAATATGGAGGGAGCACACAAAGCAACTGACCAGGCAGAACTCGTGGGCACAGAGTCCATTCCTATGAACTTTTTCTCCACAGATGTCCGGGTCAGCGTCTGATCGTCCACACAGCAGGCACGCTGGAGGGGAGAGAGACAATGGCCCCGGGCATGGCACCTCTGCTGCCCGCCCTGACAGCCCCTCTGCCAGGCTGCAGGAGGGGCACTTGGCTCTCACCTGGCTCCCTCACTTCAGGGGCCTCCTCCTCCCTGTCTGACATGGGACGTGTCAGCGGTGGGTCCCTGTCTCACCGTCCCACCATGAGTGCACCTGCCAGCATTGGGTGCTCGAACACAGCTCCTGTCACGACGACTCGTGGATCTGCTGTACGAATCTGGGCTGTGATGCTGCTCTTGGGAGTGGTTTTGCCTGCAGTCAGGCTGTTTCTGGGAAGCTGCTGTGGGATGACCCCAATGTTACCTGACTGTCAGGGTGGGGCTGTTTTTCTCCTGTGAGGGAGATTGCAGAGACTGCTCCAATGTTGCCTGTTGGTTGATGTGGTGGTTGTTGGTACTGGGGTGATGGTCTCGTGTTCTGTGGAGTGGTCAGAAGAGTCCTTCATGAGGGCAACAAGCTCTGAGTCTGCAGTGGAGGCTGAAAGAGGAAGCAGTAAGTTGAAGGCCACCTGAGGCCCTAGGCAGGATAGGCCAGAGCAGAGCCCCCAGCCCTCCTGGAGTAGACAGGCTCTGCCAAGCCCAGCCTTGACATCCGTTGCCAGGCTTAGGACAGCCATCATATTCTCGTCTGGTTATGCTGCCTCTCAGGCCACAGCAGTGTCTGCGGGTGCCCTCGGCAGCACAGGAGGAGCACAGGAGCAGTTCCCAGGGCCTGGGACGCAGCTTTGGCAACTTACCCCTCCTCCTTGGCCTCCTCTCTACCTCCTGGAAAAAGGCGCTTGCTGGCATCACAATGCCTGTGCCTCTCTCCAGCTCATCGAATGCACTGTTGCCCTGCCATGATGGTGCTCTGATGGAAAAAGGAAACCAGATGAGCTCCTTCTGCCCCGGCATCGGGCAGGTGCAGGGTGTCCCTGCTCTTCCCCCTGTGCCATTTCCAGCTCCTGTGTGAAGCTGAACCCGGGACTCACAGGACAGTGCAGGGCCAGGACTGCTGGGGCAGACCCTGCCACAGCACAGCACTTGCACCCCCTGTGTTGTGAGCCGGGAGAAGGACACCAACCTGAAGGGGATTGGGATCCCCGTCGTGAACATGTCCTTGATAAATGTCTGATAAATGCAGAGGGGGCACTGGAGGGATGAAACACCAGAGCGCAGAGCCTGTCCCTGCAGGAGAAACACGAGCAGTGAAGAGTGAGGCCCTGGTGCTGCTGAGACACTGCTGAACCCCCCAGAGGAGTCCTCCTTGTCCCAGAGCTGGTTCGAAGGGCTGGGCTTTCTTGCTTGGGGTCTCGGCGAAGCTCCAGCAAACCTCGCCTGGCACAAATCTGCCTGCTCTTGTCAGGCTCTCACCTTCTGTGCCGCCCGGGAGACTACATCTAGGATATTCCTTGGCAGAAAGCCCTGGAGTCCTACTTGACCCAGGGGGTGCTGAGGAAATGGTTGGCAAAACCTGCAGGAAAATGACACACACTGATGAGGAGAGAGTGGCAGGGATTGCCTATCAGAATACAGAGGAAGCACACGGAGAACCTCACCAGGCAGAACTCGTGGGCACAAAGTTTCCTCTTCGCAGATGTCCGGGTCAGTGTCTGATCGCTGGCTCAACAGGCATGCTGCAGGGGAGAGAGACAATGGCCCCGGGCATGGCACCTCTGCTGCCCGCCCTGAAAACCCTTTTCCAGGCTGTGGGAGGGGCACTTTGCTCTCACCTCTCTCCCTCACTTTGGGGGCCTCCTCCTCCCTGTCTGACGTAGAACGTTTCAGTGGTGGGTCCCTGTCTCACCGTCTGAGTGGTGAGTGGGGCTCTCAGCACTGGGTGTTCTAACGCGGCTCGTGTCACGGCGACTTCTGGATCCTCTGGATGAATCTGAGGTCCGACGCTGCTGGCGGGAGTGGTGTTGCCTTTGGGAAGTGCTGGCTGCTGTCTCCCTCGAGTTTCTCCTCCCAGCACTCGGTGCTGGAGTGCAGTTCCTGTCACGGGGACTTCTGGACCGGCCAGATGGATTTGGGGTCTGACGTTGCCGGCAGGAGCGGTTTCGCCGGCGGGATGTCCCCGATGCTTCCTGGCTGGGTGTGCAGCTCCCAGCACTTGGTGCTCTCACACAGTTTCTGTCACGGCGACTTCTGGAGCGGCCAGATGGATGTGGGGTCTGACGTTGTTGGCGGAAGCGATTGTGTGTGCGGGATGTCCTCGGTGTTTCCTGGCTGCGGCTGCACCTCCCAGCACTCGGTGCTCTCACATGGCTCCGGTCATGGAGACTTCTGGACTGGCCAGAAGGATTTGGGGTCTGACTTTGCAGGCGGGAGCGGTTTCGCCTGCGGGATTCCCCTGATTGTGTCAGCCTGGGCCGACGCCTCCCGGGACTTGGTTCTGGCACATGGGTCCTGTTGTGGGGACTTCGGGACCGAAGCTGTGGACTGCGCGCCCGACGTTGCCGGCGGGAGTGGTTTCGCCGGCGGTCAGGCCTCCGACCGCTGGAGCAGCTGCTGTCCTCAGTGTCGGGGAAGCTGCTGTGGGACGACCCGACGTTACCTGACTGTCAGGGCTAGAGCTGCTCATCTCCTGTGAGGGAGATTCCAGAGATTGCTCCGATGTTGACTGTGGGTTGGTGTGGAGGTTGCTGGTCTCTGATGCTGAAGACCGAAGGGATGGCACCTGGTTGCTGGTGCTGGGACTGATGGTGTCCAGTGTTGGAGAACTGGGAGAGAGCCCTGACAACTCCAGGCTGCCTGTGTTGGGGCTGATGGTCTCGGGTTCTCTGGAGACCTCTGAAGGCTCCAATCCTGACTACCTGGCCGTGCTGGGGCCAGCAAGCTCCGAGTCATCTCTGGAGGCTGGAAGGGGAAGCAGGAATGTCAAGGCCACCCCAAGCCCGGGACAGAATAAGCCAGAGCAGCGCCCCTGGCTGTCCTGGAGCAGACAGGCTCTGCCAAGCACAGCCTGGGCACCCCCTGCCAGGTGCAGGGGCACCCCCTGCCAGGTGCAGGGGCACCCACTGCCAGGTGCAGGGGCACCTGGCCCAGGCTCACCAGGTTGCTTTGCCTCTTACCTGTGCCCAAACCAGCACAGCCATCACATTCCCATCGGGTTATGCTGTTTCTCAAGCCAGAGCAGTGTCTGTGAGTGCCCTCGGCAGCACAGGAGGAGCACAGGAGCAGTTCCCAGGGCCTGGGGAAGCAAACGGGTTCATGGAGCTGAGCTCTTCTACTGGGTCCATCAGGCACAAGTTCTGGCAAGCCCCAGGATGCAGCTTTGGCAACTTACCCCTCCTCCTCGGCCTCCTCTCTGCCTCCTGGAAAAAGGCACTCGCTGCCTGTGCCTCTCTCCTAGATCGGCAAATGCATTAAAGCCCATCCATGATGGTGGTCTGATGGAAAAAGGAAACCTGATGAGCTGTCTCTGCCCCAGCATCGGGCAGGTGCAGGGTGTCCCTGCTCTTCCCCCTGTGCCATTTCCAGCTCCTGCGTGAAGCTGAACCCGGGATTCACAGAACAGTGCAGGGCCAGGACTGCTGAGGCAGACCCTGCCACAGCACAGCACTTGCACCCCCTGTGTTGTGAGCCGGGCAGAAGGACACCAACCTGAAGGGGATGCGGATCCCCGTCGTGAACATGTCCTTGATAAATGCCTGATTGTTCCTGCAGAGGGGGCACTGGAGCGATAAAAAACCAGCATGCAGAGCCTGTCCCTGCAGGAGAAACACGAGTAGTGAGAGTGAGGCCCTGGTGCTGCTGAGCCCCTGCTGATCCCCCCCGGGGGTGAGGGAACCACTCCTACTTGAATACAATCCCTGTGGAACCAGGCGGTTTTGCACGCTGGGCACACCATGGTTTTGAAGGTCTTTCTGTCCTCCACGGGCTCCATGCAGATGAGGCAATTGGTGCCCGGCTCCGGAGTCGCCTCCACTTCCTGCTCTGGGCTGTGTGTGGGGCAGAAGGACCTGGGGGGAAACAGGGTGGGTGAGTTGAGAAGTGATGGGCCCTTCCCTGGTGGTGGCCAGCAGGAGACAGGAGGTACCTGTATGGTCTGATGAACTGGGTGACACATCCTCCCTGCTTGGCACAGGGCAGGTGGAAGCTCAGGTCACAGTCGGTTTCACAGCAGGTGATGGTGGCCCCACTCTGGCCACAGATGCAGCAGCTCTGGAAAGAGCAGAGCAGCCCCATCAGCAGCAGCCTCAGGGCCTCCTCCTTGTCCCAGAGCTGCTTGTAAAGGCTGGGCTTTTTTGCTTGGGGTCTGGGCTAAGCTCCAACAAACCCCACCTGGCAGTGAACTTATCCTGACCATGTCAGGCTCTCACCTTCTGTGCTGCCCGAGAGACTACATCTAGGATATCCCTTGGGAGAAAAACCCTGTGTCCTACTCGATCAACTGGGTAGTGAGGAAGGTAGTTGGCAAAAAACTGCAGGAAAAATGACACACACTGATGAGGAGAGTGGCAGGGACTGCCTATCATAATATGGAGGGAGCACACAAAGCAACTGACCAGGCAGAACTCGTGGGCACAGAGTCCATTCCTATGAACTTTTTCTCCACAGATGTCCGGGTCAGCGTCTGATCGTCCACACAGCAGGCACGCTGGAGGGGAGAGAGACAATGGCCCCGGGCATGGCACCTCTGCTGCCCGCCCTGACAGCCCCTCTGCCAGGCTGCAGGAGGGACACTTTGCTCTCACCTGGCTCCCTCACTTCAGGGGCCTCCTCGTCCTGGTCTGACATGGGACGTGTCAGCGGTGGGTCCCTGTCTCACCGTCTGAGCGGTGAGTGGGGCTCTCAGCACTGGGTGTTCTAACGCGGCTCGTGTCACGGCGACTTCTGGATCCTCTGGATGAATCTGAGGTCCGACGCTGCTGGCGGGAGTGGTGTTGCCTTTGGGAAGTGCTGGCTGCTGTCTCCTCGAGTTTCTCCTCCCAGCACTCGGTGCTGGAGTGCAGTTCCTGTCACGGGACTTCTGGACCGGCCAGATGGATTTGGGGTCTGACATTGCCGGCAGGAGCGGTTTCGCCGGCGGGATGTCCCCGATGCTTCCTGGCTGGGTGTGCAGCTCCCAGCACTTGGTGCTCTCACACAGTTTCTGTCACGGCGACTTCTGGAGCGGCCAGATGGATGTGGGGTCTGACGTTGTTGGCGGAAGCGATTGTGTGTGCGGGATGTCCTCGGTGTTTCCTGGCTGCGGCTGCACCTCCCAGCACTCGGTGCTCTCACATGGCTCCGGTCATGGAGACTTCTGGGCTGGCCAGAAGGATTTGGGGTCTGACTTTGCAGGCGGGAGCGGTTTCGCCTGCGGGATTCCCCTGATTGTGTCAGCCTGGGCCGACGCCTCCCAGGACTTGGTTCTGGCACATGGGTCCTGTTGTGGGGACTTCGGGACCGAAGCTGTGGACTGCGCGCCCGACGTTGCCGGCGGGAGTGGTTTCGCCGGCGGTCAGGCCTCCGACCGCTGGAGCAGCTGCTGTCCTCAGTGTCGGGGAAGCTGCTGTGGGACGACCCCGACGTTACCTGACTGTCAGGGCTAGAGCTGCTCATCTCCTGTGAGGGAGATTCCAGAGATTGCTCCGATGTTGACTGTGGGTTGGTGTGGAGGTTGCTGGTCTCTGATGCTGAAGACCGAAGGGATGGCACCTGGTTGCTGGTGCTGGGACTGATGGTGTCCAGTGTTGGAGAACTGGGAGAGAGCCCTGACAACTCCAGGCTGCCTGTGTTGGGGCTGATGGTCTCGGGTTCTCTGGAGACCTCTGAAGGCTCCAATCCTGACTGCCTGGCCGTGCTGGGGCCAGCAAGCTCCGAGTCATCTCTGGAGGCTGGAAGGGGAAGCAGGAATGTCAAGGCCACCCCAAGCCCGGGACAGAATAAGCCAGAGCAGCGCCCCTGGCTGTCCTGGAGCAGACAGGCTCTGCCAAGCACAGCCTGGGCACCCCCTGCCAGGTGCAGGGGCACCCCCTGCCAGGTGCAGGGGCACCCACTGCCAGGTGCAGGGGCACCTGGCCCAGGCTCACCAGGTTGCTTTGCCTCTTACCTGTGCCCAAACCAGCACAGCCATCACATTCCCATCGGGTTATGCTGTTTCTCAAGCCAGAGCAGTGTCTGTGAGTGCCCTCGGCTGCACAGGAGGAGCACAGGAGCAGTTCCCAGGGCCTGGGGAAGCAAACAGGTTCATGGAGCTGAGGACAAAGTGTCCAAAGCATGGGATTATTTGGCTGAGCTCTTCTACTGGGTCCATCAGGCACAAGTTCTGGCAAGCCCCAGAATGCATCTTTGACAACTTACCCCTCCTCCTCGGCCTCCTCTCTACCTCCTGGAAAAAGGCACTCGCTGGCATCACAATGCCTGTGCCTCTCTTCGAGCTCGGCAAATGCCGTATTGTCCTCCCATGATGGTGGTCTGATGGAAAAAGGAAACCTGATGAGCTCCTTCTGCCCCGGCATCGGGCAGGTGCAGGGTGTCCCTGCTCTTCCCCCTGTGCCGTTTCCAGCTCCTGCGTGAAGCTGAACCCGGGATTCACAGAACAGTGCAGGGCCAGGACTGCTGAGGCAGACCCTGCCACAGCACAGCACTTGCACCCCCTGTGTTGTGAGCCGGGCAGAAGGACACCAACCTGAAGGGGATGCGGATCCCCATGGTGAACATGTCTATGAGAAAGTCCTGCCTGTTTCTGCAGAGGGGGCACTGGAAAGATGAAATACCAGAGCGCAGAGCCTGTCCCTGCAGGAGAAACACGAGTAGTGAGAGTGAGGCCCTGGTGCTGCTGAGCCCCTGCTGACCCCCCCCGGGGGTGAGGGAACCACTCCTACTTGAATACAATCCCTGTGGAACCAGGCGGTTTTGCACGCTGGGCACACCATGGTTTTGAAGGTCTTTCTGTCCTCCACGGGCTCCATGCAGATGAGGCAATTGGTGCCCGGCTCGGAGTCGCCTCCACTGCCTGCTTGGGGCTGTGTGTGGGGCAGAAGGACCTGGGGGGAAAAGGGGTGGGTGAGAAGAGAAGTGCTGGGCCCTTCCCTGGTGATGGCCAGCAGGGGACAGGAGGTACCTGTATGGTGTAATGAACTGGGTGACAAAGCCTCCCTGCTTGGCACAGGGCAGGTGGAAGCTCAGGTCACAGTCGGTTTCACAGCAGGTGATGGTGGCCCCACTCTGGCCACAGATGCAGCAGCTCTGGAAAGAGCAGAGCAGCCCCATCAGCAGCAGCCTCAGGGCCTCCTCCTTGTCCCAGAGCTGCTTGTAAAGGCTGGGTTTTTTGCTTGGGGTCTGGGCTAAGCTCCAGCAAACCCCACCTGGCAGTGAACTTATCCTGACCATGTCAGGCTCTCACCTTCTGTGCTGCCCGAGAGACTACATCTAGGATATCCCTTGGGAGAAAAACCCTGTGTCCTACTCGATCAACTGGGTAGTGAGGAAGGTAGTTGGCAAAAAACTGCAGGAAAAATGACATGCACTGATGAGAAGAGAGTTGCAGGGACTGCCTGTCAATATATGGAGAGAGCCCACAAAGCAACTCACCAGACAGAACACGTGGGCACAGAGCCCATGTTTCTGGATTTTTTCTCCACAGATGTCCGGGTCAGCGTCTGATCGTCCACACAGCAGGCACGCTGGAGGGGAGAGAGACAATGGCCCCGGGCATGGCACCTCTGCTGCCCGCCCTGACAGCCCCTCTGCCAGGCTGCAAGAGGGGACTTGGCTCTCACCTGGCTCCCTCACTTCGGGGGCCTCCTCGTCCTGGTCTGACATGGTGACTGTCAGCAGTGGGTCCCTGTCTCACCATCCCACCATGAGTGCACCTGCCAGCATTGGGTGCTCGAACACAGCTCCTGTCACGACGACTCGTGGATCTGCTGTACGAATCTGGGTTGTGATGCTGCTCTTGGGAGTGGTTTTGCCTGCAGTCAGGCTGTTTCTGGGAAGCTGCTGTGGGATGACCCCAATGTTACCTGACTGTCAGGGTGGGGCTGTTTTTCTCCTGTGAGGGAGATTGCAGAGACTGCTCCAATGTTGCCTGTTGGTTGATGTGGTGGTTGTTGGTACTGGGGTGATGGTCTCGTGTTCTGTGGAGTGGTCAGAAGAGTCCTTCATGAGGGCAACAAGCTCTGAGTCTGCAGTGGAGGCTGAAAGAGGAAGCAGTAAGTTGAAGGCCACCTGAGGCCCTAGGCAGGATAGGCCAGAGCAGAGCCCCCAGCCCTCCTGGAGTAGACAGGCTCTGCCAAGCCCAGCCTCGACATCCGTTGCCAGGCTTAGGG